TGGGCTCAGCCTAAAACTTGGCAGTAGTTGATATTTAGTGTCAGGGGATTAGATTCCCTGCTTAGGATCAGACTTAGTCCTACCATTTTCTCTCTCTGTTGCTCCCCTGTTTGTATAGCTTTCCTTGCATTGTCTTATGCTGCTGGGTAGATTTGTGTTCCAGGAGATCTATTTCTGACTCTGCTTTGTTCCTATAGTGCCTGTCTGATCAGAAATAAGAGCATTATTCCATTGAAGGGGAGGAGATGACATTAGATCACCAAAGGAGAAAAACTGGGTCATGGTGTTGCAGTGCCAAGAATTCCCTCTTGTTTGGATGACTGCATTTGGGAAACGTCCTAAAGGGACTAAATAACTCATTGCACTTTGTTGGATGTTTGTTCAAGCACTATAGGACACAGCTAAACGCTGTTTCTGTGCGTTTGGGGAGGATGCCAAATTGCTCAAAGGAAAAAAGGGTGTGCTCACACACCAACCAGTCTGCCTAGTTATGTAATTCACATTTATCACAAAGAGGAAAGCGTCCAAATATCCCTGTCCTCCTTGTATTCTGGAAGCTTGAAAACTCCTCTGGAGAGGCAAGTTCAAGAAGATAATTCTCTTCACCCACACCAGTAGTTTAAATTGTTTTCTACACTAGAACAAGAGCCCTTTCTCCCTACAGAGTTGCAGCCCTATTTGTCCACTTGAGTCAAGTATTCCTTTTGTTGTTGTTGTTGTAGACCTTCCCAAGTTCAACCTAGACAGTGAAGAAATAGAAATAGTGAAAGAATTTCCATACCTGGGATCAAACCTTGCTAGAAATGGGGACTGCAGTCAGGAAATCAGAAGAAGACTAATAAGAAGACTAAGGGGGCTATGAAAGAATTAGAAAAGATCTTGAAATGCAAAGATATACACTCAGCACAAAAGTGAGAATCATACATGCCATTGTATTCCCTATTACCATGGATGGATGTGAGAGCTGGACAGTTAAGAAAGAAGGTAGGAGGAAAATCAATGCATTTGAGAGAATGTGATGCTGGAGAAGAGTGATGAAGATCCCATGGACAGCCAAAAGGACAAACAAATGGATCCTAGAGCAGATCAAGCCAGAAACTTCCCTGGAAAAAGCCAAGATGACCAAACTGAGGCTGTCGTACTTTGGACACATCGTGAGAAGAGAGGACTCTGAAAAGACAATGCTGGGAAAGGTGGAGGGAAATAGGAAGAGAGGAAGGCAACAGGCCAGATGGATGGACTCTATGAAGGAGGTCACTTTGGGTATTAAGGGGTTGCAGGAATTCAGCAGAACCGGGGAGGACAGAGGGTCTTCTTGGAGATGTCTCATCCAGAGGGCCACCATGACTCGAGATGCAGTTAATAACAACAATGTGCCTTTAAGTCATTTCCAACTTATGGTGACCCTAAGGCAAACCTATTATAGGGTTGTCTTGGCCAGATTTGTTCAGAAGAGGTTTGCCAATGCCTTCCTCTGAGGCTGAGAGTGTGTGACTTGCCTAAGGTCACCCAGTGGGTTTCATGGCCAAGCAGGGAATTGAACCTTGGTCTCCAGAATTGTAGTTCAACACTCTACATCACTCCATTTCCATACACAACATATATTTTTTTAATAAAAGAAGTGCTCTCCTTTGAGTTCATACTAATAGCACCAACCTCTGTTTGATCCAAGGTGCCTTGTATCAAAACCTGGCTCTTGATTTAATTAATTCACTAGGCAATATGATCACCAATTTATTTCAATTCAAGCCTTGGGAATTTAATGATTCATAGCATAAAGAGAAAGACAGAGAGAATAAGAAGAATGCAGTGGCCACGTCTTTATTTTAATCAGTTCTGACAACTTTGAGCAGGTATTATTGGATAATCTCTGATTAAAGGCAACAGAAAGCTGCGACATTTAATTAAGCTAGAGTCTTAGGGAATGCAGTCATATTCAAAAAGTGGCAAGAGAGAAGGAGGAAGGTGGAGTTCAGGCTGCATCTGCACTGCGGAATTAATACAGTTTGACACTGCTTTAACTGCCATGGCTCAATGCTATGGATTTTGGGGGTTTGTCATATTTAACCTTCTCTGTCAGAGAGCTCTGATGCCCCCAACAAACTACAAATCCCAGGATACTAGTACATGGAGCAATGACAGTTAAAATGGGGCCAAACTGCATTAGTTCTGCAATGTAGAAGCAGCCTTAGTGAAGGAAGAGATGAGATATCAAGAGAAAATGACATAGTACAGCTAAATTAAGAGGCAGCTCAGGGTCTGACAAAGCATAAGGATGGTATTTCTGCAGTTTTTTGGTAAAATGGTGGCAACTCCCAAGACTAACTCTTCAGTCATGCTTGATCATATGCCATGATTTTTTTCCCCACACAGTGAAGGATCAGCATCTCCCAGAAACACAAAAGGAGTATATGAGCATCCTGAACTAAAGTGGTGGTTCCCTGTTTTTGGGTTTTCAAATGTAGTTGGACTCCAGTTCCCAGAATCCTTGACTGTGGGCCATGCTGGCTCAGCCTTCTGGGAGTTGACTATTTATTTGTAATGAGCATGGTGCTGTGGCTTGAACATTGGATGATGACTATGGAGACTAGGGTTCAAATTCCCCACTTGTCCATTGAAACCCAGCGGACAAGACCTTGGATGGGAGACTGCCAATGAAGAGCAGGTGCTATAGGCTGTATTTCAGAGGAAGGAAGTGGTAAAACCACCTCTGAGTATCTCTTGTGTAAGGAAAATCCTATGAACTTCACGGGATTGTCATAAGTCGACAGGTAACACAAAGGCACAAACACACACACATTTCTTGGTAGGACCAGCCCTGATGAAAAAGCAATGTGAAATTACAGGATAGTCCCTGGGATGGTTGAGAGGGAAACCAGGAGCCTCTTTCCTTCCAATGTTCATTGCAAGCAAAAACAGATGAGTGTCCCTGGCAGGAGGTTTCCCATTATTTATAGAATTAGTTGCTTGACCTACTTCCCCAAACAAAGGGAAATTCTAGGGCTAACCCTGTGGGGATTTTTTTTGTTTCCGTTGGATGGGTGAGCAAGGGGAGATGTATAGAGTCTTTGCAATTCTTGCTTTCTTTATGAGCAGAGCATAAGTGGAAGAAAGCGCATAACTTGATCAGAACTGCTGGCCTGAGAAAACTAGGTCTGTTCTCTTTTCGGCACCACTTTTTCCTCCTTAAAATGGGTTGTCGCAATGTTTAGTTTTGCTGCACAGCTTCCCCCTTCTCTGTTGCCATTTTGTTCTGCTGTGCTTTGTAGACTATAGCAAAGTCTTTGACTGCATAGATCATGAAAGAGTATGGAATGCCCTTAAAGACATGGGAGTGCCAAGGCGTCTGATAGTCCTGATGAGGAATCTGAACTCAGGACAAGAGGCTACTTTCAGAACAAAAGACAGAGAAACAGAATGGTTCCCAATTGGCAAAGGGGTCAGACAAGGCTGCATCCTATCACCCTTTCTGTTCAATCAATATTTAATTTAATTGAATATACATATACTTCAAATATACATCCCCATCTACAAAAAGGGAGACACAAGAGGCTGCAGTAACTATAGAACCATAACACTGATCTCCCACGCAAGCATCTGAGGAGATAGACCTAAGTCTATGAAAGCTCATGCTCTCAACTTCTTTCTTTCAGATAGTCTCAAAGGTGCTACAAGATCTTTCTACTCTAAAGACTAATATCGTGGCAGTCCCAACCCATGGCAGTGACCCTATGGATGAGACATCTCCAGGCCCCCATCCTCTCCTGCTCTGCGCAGCTCCTGCAAACTCATATTCATGGTCTCTTTAATAAAGTCCATCCAGCATCTGGCCTTCCTCTCTTTCTACTTCCCTCCACATTATTCCCTCCTAACATTATTTTCTTTTCCAACAATTCATGCCTTCTCATGATGTGTCCAAAGTATGACAGTCTAAGCCTTGTCATCTTGGCTTCTAGGGATATCTCTGGCTTGATCTCCTCTAGGACCCATTTGTTTGTCCTTTTGGCTGTCCATGGAATAAAACTGCTCAAATAAATTCATTGAAACCAAACAGATCCTAAATTGCTTTTCATCTTGTGTCCCCTAGATGGCAGCCTAGTGATACATTTGGAATGAAGACACATTTTTGGGGGGAAAAAAAGACATAGCAGCCACCATTCAAAGCTCCTCTAAACAGGGCAAATTTGTTGGGAGATAGCAGTGTTTGTTTTGGCAGTTCTGTTTTGTATTGTTTTGTAATATCCAAGTGATGTTTTTGTTGTCCCAGACTGTTTTCTAGCAGTTCCTGAGATCAGCCACAACATTTCATTCACTTTATTTTAAATTTTCAGATGTATTGGCGGGAGGGAGTCTCCTTCTTGTTGGCAAATTAAGCCAAATGGTTGGGTGTATTTGGGGTCTGGAAGCTTTTTTTGTGTGTGTGTGTGTGTGGGGGGTTCATGGGGGCAAAATGGGATTGGGTCCACAAACAGTGCGCAAGTTGTGCTTTGTTTGTTGTTGGGTACCTTCAAGTCGTTTCCCGCTTATGGAAACCCTAAGAGGGACCTATCATGGGGTTTTCTTGGCAAGTTTCTTCAGGGGCGGGTTGCCTTTGCCATCCTGAGGCTGAGAGAGTGTGACTTGCCCAAGGACACTCAGTGGGTTTTTATAGCCAAGCCATGATTCAAACCCGGATCTCCAGAGCCATAGTCCAGTGCTCAAACTACTACATTGCTCCCAAAATCAGCAAAACAACAGTAACCATTTGGTTGGCTAAATCACTGTTTTGTGGATTTTGGATGTTATTGTACTTTGCTACCCGGCCAACATGGCAAACCCTGGATATGTTTACCCACTCCTGTCACAGAGCAATTTTTGTTGTGTGCTTTCAAGTCGTTTCTGACTTATGACGACCCTAGCATGGGGTTTTCTTGGCACAATTGGTTCAGAGGGGATTTGCCATTGCCATCTTCAGAGGCAGAGAGAGTGTGGCTTGCCCAAGGTCACTTAGTGGGTTTCCATGTCCAATCTGGGATTCAAACCCTGGTCTCCAGAGTCATAGTCCAACACTCAAACCATTGCACCACGTTGGCTCTCATGTTGCAGAGCAATAACATCACAAATTAAGACTGGGAGCATGTAATTTTAATCGACGAGAAGCTTAAGGCTTGGGTAGATTGACAAGTCAATTTGCA